AAAAATCTAGCGTGTCCAAAAACGATAATGGTACAATGCAAAATAATGAAAGAACATCGGTTTGGGAAGTTTTTCGAAACGATTATCTTTTGAGAAATATACTTCAACATTTAGATGCCGAGAGTCTGGCGAGCGCTGCGAGGGTTTGCAAGTACGTATCGATCCATTATATTAGTGATCCATGTTTGATTTAGTTCTAAATACTTATTTATTACAAGCAAAATGCTATGGTTACAGTTTTCTGTTTTTATATGTATGGATATGAATAAGATTTAATTTACAAATAATCTCTTGTGGCATATATTTCATATCATGTCTTTAAAAATTTACTTATGATAAAACTATTAACTGGTGATAATATATTTAACTATTAACTAGTGATAATATATTTAACATCGTTCTTTGCGAATGAAAAGTACGTGACATTGTAAGCAACATAAATTTGTGTATATAATTTTTTTCAGATTCTGGTTAGAAATTGCGAATAATGAGAAAAAAACAAGAGGTCCTTGTTACTTTATAGAATTGAACTTGAGATCCTCTGATTTGTCATGGAACATTGAAAACATAAGAATTAAACCATCAGTAGGTTTCTATTTTGTTCCTCACCTTCCCTTCAGATTCTACGTTTCAGGCGGTATATATCTTATGTTTTTTCATATTCTCTATGCTATAAATTAGTATCAGATGAATAAAAGCTCCTATTAATAGCAGCAAGTATGTAAATATTTTATGCTAATTTATGGCAAACTATATTTTTTGAATATTTTAATATTAGATCCTTTATTCTTTTCTTCATCTAACTATAAGTCATAGAATAATATAAAATTATTAAAATCATTCTTCTTTCTTTTCAAGAACACATGGAGAATTTGCTACCTAAACATTGTGAAATTATAATACTGTATAATGATGGTATTATTATGGATAAAGAATATAATAAACCTGCACAAATGGTATGTACGTTTTTGCCACAAATCCCGAACGTGAGAGTAAAATTGTTCAAACTGCCAGAAAATTGTTTCATATCGGAAACAGCCGAATATAAGGAGATAATTAGCACAGTTGTTAACAATAAAACATCTACTTCGAATCACGAGACATGTTTTATGTTATTTTGTACTCCGGAGGGTCGTAAAACAGCACAACGGTGGGCCTCAGCTATAAAGAAAAGGTATAATATACGTTACATATTTAATTAAAACAATAATATAATACATATCCGAGTTTAATATTTAGGTATGTCTAACTGTTGTACTGCAACTTCTAATGCTCAATAACACATTATTTGTTTCTTTTTTGCATATACTCAGTGAAGAATATAAAGTAGTATGGGTTGGTGTGATGAGAGACATTATCACACATTATGCACATACTGACTTGTGCAAAAGAAAAACGAAATGGTTTAATTTATACAAAAGTGATCAATGTGTTGCCGTTCTAATTACTGGTCCTATACAGACATGGTCCATGAGTTTGGGATGGGAAAGCAATACAGAGGAGCAAATGGAAGCGAGATTAAATTTATTTAAGGACGAAGTGAACTTAAGGAAACATTCCATAGGATTTATCTTTGCAAACCCATATCGTAAAACTAATACGTTTCCCCAATTTTATGAAGAATCAACAATATTCAAAAGAGTATTCCCCACAGTACTCTTAGTAGGTTGCCTTAATTTTGACAGCGAATTCAGAAAAGCTACTGCCATTGATAAGATGAAGAATGAAAGTGAGTAATTCTTTTCTCTCTTTCTCTTAAAAATATAATCCTCCAATAAATCGTTTTCTTTTCATTTTAGGAGACAACAAAGAGAAACAAGATTGTAAGAAATCTAAATTTTTGTATAATAGAGGCCGTGCTGTATTTTTGATACTTACGTATGATTAACGTTTTTAAAGAGAATACATATGCTGCGTGCTGCGAAAATATTTTATCACTCGTACATTACTAGATTTAGATCTTGTATTTACCAATCTTTTTAATTGTTAACAAAACATGAAAGCAATGATCGTTGACATTCACAGAACAAAAACGTAGAATAACAAACGTCGTAGCAATAAATTTGAGTACTGAAAATTGTACCTTATTTTAGATGTAATATCTACGAATGCATGTTTTGTACAAATCCTAAAATAATGTTACTGATGAATAAAGGAAACAAATTATAACTTATGATAACATATTATATTTTATTATATACGTTTTTCATTTCTTTATTCATTCGCGTTCATTACTTTTCCGAATTGCTTTTAAATTGAATTGAGCATGCGATCTCTCATTCTGCGCAATCATTGTTTGAAACAAGCAATATCAGAAAACAATTACATATAATCCACAATACTGAGTTGTTTTATAACGCTTGTAAAGTTATAGTTTGCCAATTTCAACGCTGATCTCAATGTCGCGCGCGATATGCAAGCACGAGATCTACACATTCGGTCCGGTATAAAACCGCACCTTTTCTTAATTATAATTCCTTGATAGTACTTTCGCGCTTGCTATACAACATACGAGATGAAACAGGAGAGTCTAGG